AAGACACACACACACACACACAGACAACCCCGCGACAATATGCGTTTTGTAACGCTGTTACACAGCACAAAACGCATAAAAACCGCAGAACTCTGTTAATAGCTGCACAGAGCTAACTTTTTTTAATAAACTGGTCCTTTTGAAATTCGTGCAATTTTGAATGATAAATAAGATTGTTTAAATTATGCCAATGTGATAATCGGCTAATACGAAAACTCTGAGTTCCATGGAGTCGAGGCACTCTCTGCACCTACGATGAGGTGCAGATACTCGAAAGTAGACCCAGCAGTCGCCGCAAGCGAGACAGTTGATGGGCCCTATTTTCGAGAGTTGCTCAGAAGATGAAGACAGTCCTGAGTCCCTGGCATGTGACAGTAACAAATCACCATCAAAGCGAATCATACAGGAACTGACTGCCCACTGTTGGGGTTGAATGTTGATTATTAGCATAGCAGTAAAACTAGCTGTTACTGTGCTATGTCTTCTTGCTTTAGAGGAAGGCGCTGTGCAAACAGAAGGCAAAACCAGAACAGCTTTTTGAGAAATAAATTTGGAAATCAGTATTTTATGAGAAAGAAATACCATTTTTTTTTTAAAATTTTCTTGTACTAGACCTGTCTCCACACCAAAATTGGAAATGCGGACAGATGGCAAAAATGTTTTCAGCCAGCAAACAGATTCTTGCCTTTGTCACAGCAAAAATGACTGAATTTTGAAGTCGGTTATGATAACTGGCCAACCCATGGGCTGCCAATGCGAAGATGCATTTTTTACATAGCCACCCGCAGTTTTTTTGCCACTGGCACCGGTTCTTCTGGCAAATGCTTCTAGCTAAATAAATTAAGACTGGCCGCCAGAACTGTCAGGAAACACCCCTTAAAATCTCAGCTTTGTAACTTTTCAGTTCCTCGAGTTAGCAACTTACCCGGGAAAAACCTTGGAGGGCCAATACGTAGGTACCACGCACACCCGGTGTCTGGGTTTGAGCTCATTAACACCTACATGGGTGGGGAAAATTCCCCTTAAAATTCCAGTCTTCTAGATTTTTAGGCTTTCGAGTTAGGAACACACCCGAAAAAAACTTTGCCGACCCCGTGCTTGGGTAAAACGCATATCCGAGAGCTGAGTTCGAGCACACTAATAGTACCTGGTCGGGGAACATCCCCTCAAAATTACAGCCTTCTGGTTTTCAGGTTCTCGAGTTAGCAAGTTACCCAAAAAACTTTGGCGGGCCCGTACGTGGGTACCACGCGTACCCAAAGACTGGTTTGAAATTCATCAAGACTTACGTGTACAGGGAACATCCCCCTAAAATTTCAGCTTTCTAGCTTTTCTGGTTCCCGAGTTAGAGACTTACCGAAAGACTTTCACGAGCCTGTATGTGGGTGCCACGCGAGTAAAATCGCCCATTTTGGAGATGGGGGTCCATATACGCACGTAGATTAAGTTCCCAAAGTTTCAGTCCTGCAGCTTTTGTGGACCTCGAGATGAAAAATCGATAGAGACGAACACACAGATACAAACACAGAATACCTCTCGTCAGTATGCGTTTTCTGCATTGCATAGCTGGAAAAAACGCATAAAAGCGACTCTCAGTGAAACTACCTGGTTGCCCCTCGTAAGTGGGGCATTGAACAAGTGACTGTGAAGATAACATCCTGTGGTAATATGCTTCAAGCGAATTCTCTTGCCACATTTCACCGGTTCTCCTCGTCTGCACGTTTCTTTCAGCCCTGAAACTAGCTACAGAACTATAAAAAAATTTCAGAAATAGCAGCAGCTTCTTTTTGGTGAATAAGATACTTCTAATGATGTAACAAAGAGCTCAATCTTGCAAGTCAAAAAAAGCTAAAAAACTCCTTCGCCCTCAGAAAAATGAAAAAGTTCTCTTTAGTCTCCAAATAAGTTCCCGTGAAGAACAGGCTGCCAAATAAGTAGAGCATGCAATCTTTACGTCCACTAACATTCTGGAACTTAACTCTCATCTGCGCTGCAAAAACCTTTAATGTGTAAAAACAGATCAAAACACAGTCATCAAAAAAATTATACCCATGGCAATATTATCACAATTCCGTGCTTTTCCGCCGTTTCTTTTTACATTGCTATTAACAGACACATTTAAGCAGTAATTCCAGTTCACAAATTAACTAATTCAGATCAATGAAGGTATACGCTCAGAATTGAAAGACCTGACATAGCTGCGCTCGGTATGTGGAAGCATCCCAGTAACATCACTAACAGGGGAATTGCACAATGGCAATTCGAGCAGTCCCGGTATTCCTGCTAAACACCTGGATTTTTTCCTAACACTTTTGCAAACAGCTAGTTCTAGCGTTCGAAACTTGACATCCGTATTCGATAATTCGTGTTGATCACGCTAGAATAATATCAGTTCTTTTCTTTTAACATCTAGATGCTGACGAAACAAAACCAGCGGTCATCGCAGGCGGATTCAGAGCGGTCTCCTAGTGTAGAAGGGATGGGGCTGGAAGCTGGGACCGG